TGTTCATTTGTTCTACGATTGTAATATGAAATTTCAGTTGTTTGCTCGAAAATAAAAAATTCTTAAGGGAATGTTGTGTAATAAACTAATCGAACAAATGTCTCTGTGTGTGTGTGTGTGTGTGTTGTGTAAATGAAAATAATAAATTTATGTTTGCGCAGTCGTGGAGAGTATCATGAGGGGCGAGGTCGTCGGAATGACACCAAGGAGGTCGAGGTCATCGACTGCTCTGACGCACGCACTGGTCGTGGTGAGTGAAATCCAATTTCATTCTATTATTAAACTTGTCACAAGGCTGGTAATAATGATGATGATAACATCAACGAGAGTTAGAGAAAGAGAGAGAGATGGAGGGAAAGGATGGGGGGGAGAACGCAGGGGAACAGGGGGGGGCTGGTGGTGGTGGTGGTGGTGGTGGTAGGAAAGGTCGTTGGACGAACGGAATTCACTAAAGGTAAAACCGGAGGAAGAGGAACGATAATGAAAGATCACGGGTTGTCTTTTAACTTTGCATATATATTTTTTAAAATTGATACTGGATACAATTTTGTAAACTACGTTTAATTGTATGTTAATTAATAATTAATCGTATTTTTTTTCCTTTTTCTATTCTTTTTACTTAAAAATTAAAACGTCTCTCTGTCTTCTTTTTGGGGGAGGTATTTTGCAATTTTTATTATGCTCGTTTTGTTTATAGATGCACATTATTTTTATGCACATATATACATATGTGTCATATTAAATAAAAAAATATTAGACGAGTATGAAGTGAACACACAAATGACATTTAATTGAAATATAACATTGATGATATTAATGTGAACAAAAAATAAAATTATGTTTGTCACAATAATCCAGATTATAAGTATTCTCCAATTGATATAAATATAATATTTCATATATTTTTTATATCGGTTGAGAGAGAGAGATATATGAAAATACTGACGAAAGAAAAACAAGAAGCAAAATTAGAAGAAAAATAAAATTAGTTGAAATAAATGTGTTTGATGGATAAATAATAATAAATATTAAATGAAAATTGTAAAATATAAAGTGTACGGTGGATAGATATTGTAGGGAAGTAGTTAGTTGACTTGCTTACCAGTAGATTCCCTTTAATACGAGAAATCAATAGAGAGTCGTGCTCCACGCTGCACCCTCGAGCTTTCAGGAATCGTTCGCAAAAGTACGCCCGGAATAGAAACGGTTGCTACCTTCCCCTTCTCTTTCTCTCTTTTTCACTCTTTCACTCTCTCTTTCTCGCTCACTCTCTTTCATTTTCTTATTCAGTCACTCTTCACATTTATTCTCTCTCTCTCTCTCTCTCTTTCATTTTCCTGGACACACGACTGCTCCACCTACTTTCAACTTGGACTCTTCTTCAATTTCCGACGAGACGTCGCGTCTTTATTTTTTTTTGCCACCCTGTATATATATATATGTGTGTGTGTGTAAAGTACGACGACCCGTTTCTCAACGAGGGTGTCCGTCTCCCATTTCAACCCCCTACCCTACCCTTCGGATCATCATCCAATCGATTTTCGTCCTTCGACGAAAAGGATTATCCCTAGGAATTTATTCAGCCCTTTCTATCTACCCTACCTACCTACCTACCTACCTACCTAAACCTTTTTCTTTTTCTTTTTTCTCATAGCTCTGTCTTTTCGTTTTGTTTATACTTCGAACTTTTTTTTCTAAATTATCACGATTAATATTTTTTTTCACGATTCGTTGATGAACCCCATTGGATTGATCTTTTTTTCTTTTCATTTATTTTTTTGGCAATCGTATTGCATAATTCATATCGCCATTTTGTTTTGAGGGGTGTAATTAATTTTGTAAATTATTTTCTCGACACAATATATATAATTTCAATAGAATAATATTTATTGGAACTGTTCATATTTTWAAAAAATGTAATTATTTTATTTTATATTATATTTTTGAAGTTATATTTCTTTTGCCGCGTGAATTTAGATGCGATCGAAAAATCAACACCACGAAGTTGTCGAGATAATTTMCAATGCGCGGGAAAAAGCGATTTCAAATTTACCAACATGAAGTTAACTCGTAAATAAATAAATAAATTGGATTGTAGATATTAATTAAAACCTTTATCAATGTTATTTAATATTTTCATTTTATTTTTATCATATTATCATCTTATATATATATATATATATATATATATATATATTGGTATGCGAGATAATTGAAGTTATTTTTGATGTTATTGAGGTTATGTTCGTTTTGTTAACGTGAAAGAAATATAACTTCTTACGTAGGTATTTTTGTTTGTTTAATTTAACGATCGTTAATTAGGTATTAATAAATCATGTTAGTACCATATTCTCTTTCTTTCTTTTTATGTCTGTCTCTCTTCGAAATTCAATGTTCCAGGAATTCTTTAGCTCTTGAGGGCATCGTCATTGTCGTCGCGTGTTAGTGACAGGTCACGTCAACCAATCGCGTCACTAATCGGGTTGTTCCGATGACGCATACATAGCTTTCATAGTTTAAACGCGTGACGCTCCTTTCCAGGCCAATCCACGTAACCTGGAAACGATATTCAAAGACGAAAGGGGGGGGGACTTTATCCCCGTTTTAACGGATCAAACGAAAATATTTGTCCACATTTTTTTATTTTTTTGTTTGCAATTTTATTTTAATCCGCTAAAAATGATCGATCAAAAATATAATTAAATGACTCTGATAATATATGTTGATTATATTTAACTGAAAGTTTCATTTGTTCATTTGTTTATTTGTTCATCTTGCACACTTATCAAATTACTCATTTCTAATTTTCGTTAAAATGAAATATTGTTCGTTATAGATCAATATAATAATAATAATAAAGTTGGCTGATAATGTTAATAAATATAATTAAGTGACTCTGATAATATATGTTAATTATATTTAACTGAAAGTTTCATTTGTTCATTTGTTTATTTGTTCATCTTGCACACTTACCAAATTACTCATTTCTAATTTTCGTTAAAATGAAATATTGTTCGTTATAGATCAATATAATAATAATAATAATAATAAAGTTGGCTGATAATGTTAATCAAAATAATACGGGACTTTGTTTTCGCGTGTGTCGTCAAAGGTCACGCGAAAGGAGTCATTTCTTTGTTTATGGGATTGATCGGTTGGTAGCACGTAAAACGGATCTTAACATTACCTTCGTCAGATTATATCTTACTTAGATTTTCTTACTTGGGTTAACGGGAATAAAAGAAGTAACAAGTAGGAAAGAAAAAATCAAATGAACAAAAGTTAAGTAAAGTAAAGTAAAAGAAAAAGTAAAAGAAAAAGGGAAAAGGAAAGGTAAATGATTTATGAATATCGAACTGGATTTTAAAAAGATGTAAGAAAAGAATGGCGTCTTAACGTTAACGAGATTGCAAGGTTGAAAAACTTGCGAATGGAAAACAGAAAAAGAAAACAGAAAGAGAGAAAGAGAAAGAAATAACAGAGAATCAGCCGAATTTTCTTCCTCCTTTACTATTACCCTTCATCCACCCACCCCTCCCCCAACTCCAGAAGAAAAAAAAAGTTCCAGTTTAAAAAGATAAAAGAAAAAAAAAATCAAAGAAGAAGAAGAAGAAGAAGAAGAAAGTTCTTTCGAAGCGAGATAACTCTTTCCCTGGACGAGACGACGTGTACGCAAGAACTTTTGAAAAGATGAATTGGGGGTGAGAGTTTTTAGAAAAGGAAATAGAAGAGGAGGAGGAGGAGGAGGAGGGTTGAAAAAGAGAAAGAGTTGAATTCAAAAGTTTCATGGAGAATAACTCATTAATGATAAAAAGTTTTAGGGTTGAGTCCTTTGGATGAGATGAAGGATATCCCGTTGAACATTTCTAACCTTTTACTTTGCCCAGTTAACTTTCCAAGTTCCTGGTCATCATAAAAAGAGGTGGGCCTATCCCCGTCCCTTATTGGAATTTAATTTTCCCTTTTTTTTCAAGGCTTGTGTCTGCTATCAAACAGAATTTTGTTTTACTTTCATATCGTCCACTTTTTATTTTTCAATATTTGATTAAAAGAATTTAGGATTATGTTGATCATCGCGTTTATTTAACGTATCGTAGAAATTTGAAATTGTTCAAAGTAATAAATAATACGTCATGTTTAGAAATGATCAAATTACAACGCGTGACTAAAGTTTTAACGAAATATTCAAATAAAAACATTTTCATCTTGTTTATTGAGTTAACTTTTTTTTAAATAGGAATCGATTGAAATGATCTTAGTTAATGTAATTAATGTTTGTGATAATAACATAATATGAAAATACGCGGGATAAATTAGACGAATCCATTGGTGAACATCATCGACACTTTGGTTAACAGCCAGAAAGTGAAAGAGAAAGAGAGAGAGAATGAGAAAGAGAAGCAAGAACTTTCCGGAAGCTGGCTTATACGAGTTCGCAAAACTTGCCAAAAGGGATTAAAGCCAGGACTACTCTTCCGTAAGAGAACTTAGCCAAGAGTTTCTAGACGATCCGCGGAAGCGACCATTAACGGGGTAGTTTCGAAAGTAGACACACTACGTTGCTGTATGAGCTCCTACCCAACTTTCGTTTGAACTATCATTTCGTCCAATATCCAAAACTTAAACCCGTATACCCATTTTCAATGATTATTTATATTTTTTTAACGCCCCCTCACGTTAAATGAAAACGAAAATTCATCTAACCTGAAGAATAAGCACAAAAACTGAATTCTAAGGTTTTTATCATCAGGGAGCCTTAAAATAATAGTCAAGTTAATATTCTTCAAACTGATTTTTCAATCCTATACTTGAAGATCTTAAATTGCAGTTGCAACGTAGAAATTACTGAACACGTGGGTACTTCTGATTCCTTGTTTTAGGTCTTATGAAGTTCTAACTGGTCCTATCATCATGGGGTCTTAAAATAATGTTCAGTTTAATATTCTTCAAACTGATTTTTCAATCCTATACCTGAAGATCTTAAATTGCAGTTGTAACGTAGAAATTACTGAACATGTGGATCTTTCTAATTCCTTGTTTAAGGTCTTATGAAGTTCTAATGGGTCCTATCATCATAGGGCCTTAAAATAATGCTTCAGTTTAATATTCTTCAAACTGATTTTTCAATCCTATACCTGAAGATCTTAAATTGCAGTTGTAACGTAGAAATTACTGAACACGTGGAACCTTTAAATTCATTGTCCGAAGTTTTATAAAGTTCTAACAGTTCTTGCTCTGTTCTTATTGAAG